GAGGAGGAGGAGGAGGAGGAAGAGGAGGGGGAGGAGGGGGAGGAAGAGGAATAAATTTCAATCATGAATATATTATTCCACGAAGGTGTGAGGAGAGCGTAAGAACAACGTTACCATGCTACATTTCTTCTACCTCTATAGTAGACTGTAGTGGACTCTCGTTGTCGAGAGGTTACGGTGTTCGACTCTCATTCAATAGGTCCTGGATTCGAATCCAGACAGTAACAGACAATTTTCTTCTCCAAAATTGTCTCCTTTCACCTCCTTTCCTGCTCTCTAACAATGATATGTCGTCTGCTTTCGCCTATACTTTCTGCCCCTACCCTTTCACCTCCTCTGCCCCCTCATCTGGACTCTTTCTGCGGCCTTTCTACTTTTTTGACTTGGCTCCTTCTTACTGCTGCCTATCAGTCACACCCCAGATCTTATTGTAGGTAAGATCTAACACTTACTGACTTCTTAGAAAAGGGCTAAAAATCCCGTAGGTCCCGTGTGCAAGTTGCGCAAGATAAAGATCCCTTGGTGGGGGAGAACATCAAAGCCGCTCACTTTCAAGTAAAAGCTATCAAAACCGCGCTCTATCAGATCCGTATACTTTTTTGAAGATACCGATACAGTTATATTGCCCATTACCAAAACCAGCACCGTCCAACAATTCCCTCAGTATTTTACTGGGCTTGGGACCAGATATTAGTTAGATTTTGTATTGAAAGAATAGGCTTTTCAGGTATAAAAACGTATCTACAGGACAGGGGCGATCTTTAAAGTGTTGGGGCAGCATTTTTTTGCTCATTTAAGATTAAAATTGAAGTTGTGAGACTTGTCCATCTGCGTACATTTGCTTGTTACACATTCTCCCTTACTCCTTGGTAATGCCTTTCTGTTTGGTCTGGGCTTTCAGATTGAGTTTAGAAATGAGCTGGAAGTCGCTTAACGTCAGCAGAAAGACGAACATATTTGGATGGGGGCTGTGCAGAGTAATTCTGTCAAGGGGACTGTAACTGTTGGATGGAATCGGCATTTAATTGTATTTGATATCATCAAAATGCGCGGCTTTGCTAGATTTTTCTCGAGAGTGCGCGGCTCTGATAATTTCCCGTTGGATGTCCAAAATCGATAAGAGAAGGCTTCGGCTGCCTCCAGCCCAGAAGTAGAAAATAGTTCCTGCCAGCCTGAAATGGCTTAATGTGTCCCGGGGCTCATATGACCTTATGCAGTTGCGAGCGCCGTGAAACAATTACTGTAATCAATTACATCACTACTCGACGTCAAAGTCGCCTTTCAAAGGTATAGCCAAAGATAGTACATAACTAGATGGTTCACTCAGACAAAAAAGTGTCCACAGAAGTCCGCTCATTGCTTCAGATAGCCAGAAGAAGAATAGGAATAGCAACCCCTTGCGTGCTATTGCGTGCACTGATCGACAGCAGTACATCATTTGTTCGGGTTTGTTCAGTGCCGAGTTTTAGTGTTTTTAAAATTTTAATGACTTCCCACCTCTTATTCTAAAGTCAAATTAAACTAAGAAAACAGTCACGTCTTCCACCGGAAGAGGGTGTTTTTTTTTGTCAGCGTAACCATTTTTAAAAAAGTGTTCTTCCGAAACTTGAATTCTAATTTATTCAAAAACCTTTTAGTTTCGTTTTGATTTTTTCTCCCACACATAGGGTAACATTGTTCGCAAATGGTGCGCTTTCCCAAGAGGGCGACACCAGATTTTGAAGACGCTTTTTTTATTTGGCTAAAAGAGAGGAGTGAACTATTTTGTTATGTACTATCATTGGTACAGCCAAGTGGGTGCTGCGAATATTTGAGCTTAAAGGGGTAAAAACGAGCGCTGGCTATAAAAAGGTTGACAAGTACTGGGTTAGAGTAGATCTTTAAGTTGTAAAAGATACTAACTTTCCACAGACTAATTGGTTTAATCGGTCCTTCCGGGTATGGACGTTGAACTCGGAGGTCCCGCCTTTAAAATTGCCTAATTCTGTTTATAGGAGCGTTAAACCTAAACTACCACAGGGCTCTCATAGTCCAGAGGTACGTTATTCGTCTCTCATTCAATAGGTCCCGGGTTCAAAACCTGACAGCGATGGAAAATAGTCTTTACTTAATAAATATTTCTCCTTTCATCTTTCCTGCTCTCTAATCATGTTATGTCGTCTGCTTTGGTCTCCACGTTCTACCTACACCCCTCCCCTTAAAAAAAATCTCCCTCTTCTGGGCTCGTGGTTCTGTCTGTAGACTTTCTACTGCCACTCCCTGGCTCCTTCTTACAACTGTCTTTCAGCCACAACCCTGATTTCAAGGTAGATAAGATCTATCCCCTTGCCTTCTCGGATAAGGGCAAAATAATCTCAAGGTCCCGTTTGGAAGTTGCACTCGTTAAGATCTCCTGGCGGTCCAGAATCGATAAGAGTAGGCTTCAGCCGCCAACTTCGCAAAGTAAAAAAATCAATAATTCTCACCAAACTCAGAATACTTAAGTGTCCCTCCCACTCAC